ATCGAAGTTTTACAATAATTTGACGCAAATTGAAATAAATAATATAATCCATATGCTAAAATATAAATAACGGTGCACTACCTTTATAACGTAGATACCTCGGGATGATCCCTATGGGGCGGGAGACGCTAAAAGAGTGGCAGTTAATACTGGTTGGAGTTTTGTTATCTCGTGTTCTGCCGATGATTTAGAGTTTTAGGGGGATGGGACGGACTATCTACGACATGTGATTAAGATATCTCGTTGGTTGGGCCTGCCCCACTTCTGAAAATATACTTGCCACTACCTTCGCCTATGTGCTAGTGCAGAATGACCCTCTATGCTGTAATTTGCATCCTAGTCTCGTGCCGGACCCCGGAGCTGCTATGACTCGAAATATACTATGGAAGTTTAGAAACTACAGAGGTGTCCTAGTTTGTCTAATCGTTAGGCCCCTGTGGATCTCTTATAGCAGTACTGTACACCAGGGGTGGATATATTTGCTATCGTGGTGATATCTCATCCCACTGTGCCGATCTGAATCAATCCCTTTTTTTTAAAATAGTACCCGAGGTATTTCCACGATATTTTGGGTCATAAGGTCCATGGCAGATGAAGCGTGTCACTAAATCTGCCAACAATAAAAGACCTCATCCAGGGATACCATGAGAAAGGTCTTAATGCTAAGGAGGCAACGTTAGAAACCCCAAGTAAAGGTCATACAAAAACTCTGAACGAATGCTAATGTCTGACAGTGGTAAAAAGGCTGATGGTTACCTTTTTAGCAAATTTTATCTGACACCCTGAAGTTTTTGCTATCAAGACGTTATGGAATCACACCCACCTTATGATCAGGGTGTTAGATAAAGATGGCATCACACTACCCATTAGTGATAACTCCAGTTCTGAAACCAAACATCTTTAAGATTACATGGAGTGATGCAGGATTGTTCAAATCTCTGTGATTGGTTGAATATACCCACCTCTCCGCCACAACATATATCAGAGGTCTTATGTGATCTCCAGAGAGTATAAACTGTGTCCGAATATGCCGCCCCCTCTATGAGATCATCCAATCGTCACTACAATGTGGTCACCAGTCAGAGTTACAAAAGTTATAACCAATTAGAGAATTAAAATACCCCAATCCAAAGGGGAATAGCCGTGAGAGTGTGATAAACCGTTAAAATGTCACCACAATCAACTATCCCCCACATCCGTAGCTTCGGTGGTAAACGAGATACTATTCTCATACATATATGATTGAGTCGCAGACAGTGAGGTGTCAACTTTCTATGTTGAGTGTCTATTATTTCTCTACCCAATGCTGAGCATCTCTGGATGAATTAATTATTTTCGGAAGAAATCAGTGTAAGTGATGCAAAGTATTACGAGCTTTTACTCAGTATTATACACGGGTACTTGAGCAATGTATACACACTCAGCATAGCCCAGTATTGAACCCTGGATCACGTGACATCGTCTACTTTAATTTGAGGTACGCTTCTATGGACATAGGAGACTTCTAAACGTACTAACGATCGCTACCCAGGCTATCGGTCCAGATATACTTACAGTTATCGCCGAAGTTAATAGCTATAATACATTAGGCAAGTACATTGCACTCTAAAGCAATGCCTATGCTCGATTGGCACCTAGGAACTTAGTTCAATTTGAGAGTCAGGTTGTAGATGGATTCCTGCGTCAGGTTGATAACACATGACGTACTGGGCTATTGTATAATCGAAAGTCCCCGCAACTTAGATCGCCTCAGATAGACCCCATCGGCCGTGCACTTTACGAAATGGATCAGAAAAACTGAATGAATCAATCTGTCACTCAAATATATTAAGAAGATTCACCTGTATGTGGAATGGAATACTGAATCATTACTCGGTTGTCTAAAATAGGCCCAGCTCAGCTACTTCTTATAATAAGGATTGTACAGTAATTAATTATATGAATACGAACTCATGAAGACGGGGCTTTAAAACGTATGGAGTAGTCTTTCCGTGGTGAGCGCGGGTGGCCGGTAGAAGTAGGGGTTCAAGATACGTTTCAGCAAAGTTACCGTGCATGAGGATCTACCTTACGACTTATACACTCCCCATCGATATCGGGACAAAATAAGTCTTCCAGGGAGCATGTAGCATCTGTAAATTTCGAGAAAGATTAGAAATCCACCATCTCAGACCACTTAACGGCTTGGATTACACTTTTAGAACGATAGAACAACCTTAGTAGGATGCAATTTAATCTCGTTAGAGATACCTTAGTTATATAGCACATCGTGTGACTAGTTTACTGCCCCCGTATCCGCTACCGACTAAGGTATATTTCAATATTAATTATTGGCCTATATCCTTCCGCTGTAAAATATAGATAGCTATACCTCAGAGGAGAAAGAGCCAATACCCACCTCGCACCAACCCCGTGGATATGAGGCGGGAGCTAAGCTAAATTTACCACTCTCTGAGACAGTTGGCTAGCTACAAGATAGGCAGAAGTCCCTTGTTAACAAATAACCTTATTTTCAGAGGATTGTCTACTAATAGATGATATTTTGTGATTGAAGGGTGTAATGATCTCCGCTCCGCGGGGATATCCCTTCGGGATACTTGGAGAGAGTATGAATTCGGTGGTGGACCCCTCATCCCTGATGGCGTGTCCTCTTGACTTATATATGTTCTAGAAGGTGTCCCTCGTCATAAGGGCGGAGTGTCCCTGTAAACTTGGGGATTTAATCACACTCAAGGAATTTTCTATTACATAGAAGTAGCCACACTACTGACTAAATTACCTCTCTGGTATGAAATACAGATATTCAACACAAATTAAAAGACTGGTCTCCCTAAACCAATCATCCTCTATTTTTATTTTCCGATATATATTCAATTGGGACTGTCATCGAGGGAATGTCAGTTATGTATCCCATTACTACCCAGAGAATACCTTCCAATTATAACGCCGAATATTATTATTATAAGCACGTATGACATTTTACTGTCGTAATAAATGCAAGAAGAATCTTGAAAATCCATAAGTAGATATATGAAAGATCCAGTAAGAAGAAAAAGGGGGTGTCATCCTCCGTCCCCCGGGGTAGGGGACTCAGAGTGACCAGCCTGTAAGATCCATCGTATCTAGAGTTGTAGAGGGGTGGCTAGAGTGTGTGCCTTGCAAGCACAGGGTCGCCGGGAACGACCATGGATACTTAGCTAAATGGCTAGAGAATAACTCTCGTACACGAATAAGTTATCTATTTTTATATACAACTAACAATTTTCTCTTGGACTTGAACCTAGATAGAGTCAGTTGTGAATTAAGACTCTTGTAGCAGTGTGGTTGTAACACAGTATAGCCAAACTACAAGTGCAATCATCATTCCTTATCTATTCTGTCTTCCTCGTTGATATGGATGCGTGTATTTTTCAGTATTGGTCTCGCTAGAAGTAATATTCTCTAGAGGTCTGCCGTTGATAGTACGGTGTTAATAAATAGTGGCATTTCGCGGAACACCTCAACTGATATCCCAGATTGTTTAGTGTTCAAATACCAGACACTAATCCTTCACGTATGGGTTTATTAAACCACTCTACTGTCGTGGCAGACTGATTATCACGTATTATATATACATTTAAGTACTGTAGTTTAACAATAGCATTTTATTTACTGATACTTTTCTATCGTCGTCTATGGGTTCGCATAGTGGCACTAATAGGGTATGACCTGTATACCTAAGTATAAAAATACTTGAATATGTGTTTGTGTTTGAAGGAGTGCCCATCTTATCCGACAAAGAGATCCAATGGGATGTCGGCTGGACGCGTGTGTGTCGTAGTAAGTTTATAGTGTGTTTTCCGTGTGCATGTCTGTATTGAGTAGGAATCATGTATATTGTTTGTCTATAAATATGTATATAAGTGTATGTCAGGGATGGCCAAAGTCGCATGACAAGCAAGCCTTTCACACAGTTCATGAGCCGGCATAACCCCCTAAAGTGCCGTCACATTTTCGTGGACTTCAGCCGCCCGAGCTATTCTGTGGGTGTTGATTGAGTCACGTCTGAAAAAAAAGTAGATTTCAGTATACTACACACTTTCATCCGCGGTACACTCCGAGTACTGAGTTGCCTTGTAACCGACCTCAGGGTTAAGCTTGCACCCTTCGTAATTGTAAGTAACGGTTATATCCAGCCCATAAGATCCTGAGATGGCGTTCACCTGGTTGCCACCACCCGTGACCGGACCATACGCACTGGTCTCGACTGTGAATGCCTGATATTCCTTGTTGTCGCTGTTTGCCAAGGTACTGTCGAGGTCGGTGTTGAAGGTAGACTTAAGGGATCGGTCGCTATATGGAAAGTGTACCTTCACAGTGGTAGTGGCGCCTATGCTCACATCCTTGGTCTGATCCCCAAACAAGGACTTGATAAGTGACTTGCCCGTCACCTGTGACTTTATATCGATCGTGGCATCCCGGAACTCAGCTGTGTACACAACCTTCCGGTTCTCCTCGTTTTCGATCTCAATCAGTTCCTCCAGACTGAACACAGAAGTGGTATCCACCTCGCGCAGCTTGTACTTCAACGCGTTCTTGTTGGCTGGGAAACCAGTAGGGAAGTAACTGTCCGCATCGATGGGAGGGCGGTAGAACTTTGCTACATCGAGCTCTTGGTATGGAACACCGACGCTTGAAATCGACCTTGTCCAGTTGTCCTGTGAATAAGTTAAATCAAAACAAACATGGATGATGGGAATGAAAAAAATTGAGATTGACTGCGGATAGAAGTGTTCCCACACGTCGAGTTGAAGGCTCGCTACCTACACACACCCGTGCCAAAGGCCAGTAGCAAAGTCGCGTAAAGCACGGTAGGTTTGCATAGCTGTGCTCAATATTAAAATGACTACATAATTAAACACACAAAGAGCTTGAATATATAGATATATACATGTATCTATATGATATAGGTGTATATAAATATATATTATGTAGGTGTATATGCATCTATATCCTGTAGGTGTGCATGAATTTATATCATGTAGGTGTGTATGCATCTATATCATATAGGTGTGCATGCATTTATATCATGTTGGTGTAGTACATGACAGCAAGGTAGAAATAAGACACCCTCGGTCCCACAACAGGGTGAACGGTAGTTCCATGGCCCGAGAGCTATAGTCACTGATAAAAGTCTAACCAAATACAAACATGTACACTGTATATTCTAAGATAGAGTTGAACCATCGATCATACGAGTACTCTTGATAGTGACCTGCTACCCATGTGCGCCAGCAGGAAAGTGCGATACAATAAGTACAAATAATCGGACCTTAAGCTCCACAAGCAAATGCCGGTTTTATGGTTTTAGTAAACCCTTTTACTTTGCAGGGACTACTACGGGTGACTAAACTCGAAGCCGTACCTTTTGAATCCCTGATTCTTGAAGTCTATTTCTCTATTTAAAGAGAAAATAATCAATAAAAAAAAAAGCTTGATTGACACGACATACCATCACACTTGCAGGGGTTGCTGTTGCTGCCGGTGCACTGATCCTCCGGTAATTCGACCCATTGCCCACTAGTGCATAGAACACCGCTGTCCTCGCACTTGCACGACAATTCGTCGCCCTTATTACCCCCTTCGCTGGCAATGCCTGGTTCCTGAGTCTTGTTGTAGAATCCATACTGAGTACCAGACCCGCAAAGTACGTTGCTTTGTATGTCTATATACTCCTCTACACATGGGTCTGTAGAAGGATGGGTTGATATTCATTTTTTAAATGGTACACGTTTAAAGGATAAAGTATCTAAGTTTGAACACATATATACAAATACATAT